TTATGTAATATCGGAATATATATATATATATACATATAGTGGTGGTTAAGTACAGTCCGTACAATATTTGTTGAGATAGAATTTCTAGAAAAGAATAAGCCAATAAAGTTCTGTTATTGGAACTACTGTAACAGTTTACTCTGGTAGGGGTGTGCCTTGAAAGTTTCCGCCATTGTCTTTCTACCTTGTGTGTCGAATGTGATTAATTCCAAGAAAGTGTCACAGGGATCTTATTGGAATTATATCTCAACAATATCACATACTACTTTATGCAGTGTTATGTTGACAATTAGTCAAAATGAATTATTTTCTTATTGATTATTAAAAGGCGGTTGTAGAAGATATATTGTATGTAATTCATGTAAAATTGTGTTTTTTGGCACTGTGTATTATCAGTTTCATATGTCTCATTCCAGAAACACTGACTTTTTGCACTACCTTTATGAATAACTAATTGACTAACCATAGATTTCTGATTGAAGATGTGTATCTAAATTGGACTATTCTAAATATGAATTTTATTTTATAACATCTCAAATTTTTATTTATTGTGCCAAAAATACATATAGTTCTTATAAAATATGTATTTTTATTTTCTGATTTTTGAATTAAGTGAAAATACCATAGCAAAACTGCTAACATTATGAAATAATTTTATATAAAATAAACAAATTTTGAATTTCAATAAATAAATAATTTTTAAATGATTTTTTTTATTTGTACACTACTATCCACATAACACTACAGCCTTCATAATAAGACTGTAGACGGATACAAGCTGTTACAAATTCGCTTCTCACTACAGGGATCTCGAAAACAGTAAGAGATACGAACTAGCTTAAATGGGGGCAAAGTTGCAAAATCAAGGGACCAACATTATGCCTCTAAAAAATCAAGGCTAACATGATTAGTTCTCGAAATATTTGAAAAAAAAACTTGAAATTTTGCAAATTCGTTTTTTTTTTTCATTTCAGCCTTGTTTGAGGTGATATTGAAAATAGAAAAACACTTTCCCATGGCCACTTTTTGCCCCTTTTCATGGCATAATCATTTTTTATATGTAATGTTTCGTCTCTCTAAGACCATCATGAACTTCATTTTTTTAAATACGAACTCTGGAAATATTACATTTTTTGCAAGCCTTCATGACCCCTAATACTGTAATGCCTCAGCCCAAACTAGATTCAGAGGTTTTTTCTCGAAAAATTCATCTTCAGTGTATTCGTACCCATAGTTATTTCTGGGCTTCTCGAGTGCTCAAAATTCAAACTAATCAGTGTATTTGTTCCAAATTTATCTAATTTTTTATTTAGATTTCTTTGTTTATCTAATTATAAAAAATTAAAATATAAAAAAATTAATTTAAAACAATAATATGAAAAAATTAAAATTACCTATTTTAAACTAATATTTAATCATTCTCTAGATTTTTATTTATCGATTCGAGAGCAATGCGACAGACTTCTTTATATTAATGTAAAAATTGCAACAGTAACAATAATTGTATACTTGATTTACTGTTCCAATGTGCAATATGTCACAAAATTCACAAGCAGATTTAAAACAATAATATGAAAAAATTAAAATTACCTATTTTAAATTAATATTTAATCATTCTCTAGATTTTTATTTATCGATTGAGTGCAAAGCGACAGAGACTTTTTTATACTAATGTAAAAATTGCAACAGTAACAATAACTGTATACTTGATTTACTGTTCCAATGTGCAATATGTAACATATTCCCAAATTATGTTAAGATGGTCAGAATGGAGGTATGTACAGGGTGGTTGATTTTCGATAGTTTTATAGTGTACAGCCAAAACGGTGATAGATACAAAAAATCTGATATCGATGTCTCGTCCTCTTTTTTTTGAGTTTACTTCGCTGGTACCTAAAGGTCTTGGCTAACTTGATTAGTTTTAGGTATACAGAGCTCTTTTGAAAATGTCCCATTTACATAAACCTCTCTATCTCCGTTATCATTCAATTTAGAAGAAAAATTGTGCACAATATTTGTTCCATTTTTTATTAGGAAGCCAGTGGCGTACTCAGGTTTTTTACAAATCACACAATTTTTTCGATATTACATAAACATAGGTTTTTTTTAAATAGAACACCCTGTATTTGGCTATCCCGTTGAATAGTATTTTTTATACCTCTTCAGCCATATATACCTAATAATAGATACTTTTTATTTGCCTAAATGAAGAAAAATGCAAAAATGTATAGATATTTTTTCAGTTGGCCATGTTATTTCGTCTTTTGTTGTATAATATTGACAGTTAGTTTATTTTTGACTGATTGAAAGCTTGTTAAACGTCTATTACTTGGTTTTAATTTTGAAAGGTATAAAAATGGTGTACAAAAATCTTCAGAAAGTTGAAATGTTGGAGTGTTACATTGAAAGTGAAAAAAATAGTGAAACAGCTTTAAACTTATATTTGAGGACATACTCAGAGCGTTATCAGCCAGAAAAGAGAATATTTAGCCGACTCTATGATAACTTGTGTGTTTGTTTTTTTTTTTTTTCAAAAACCGAGAGCTAAATCTTATAATATACAGAATAGAGAAAATGATGAAATCAATACTTTAGCTTTTGTTGTCGCAAATACCAATGTATCCAGCAGACAAATTCAAAGGACAATAGGAATTGGTAAATTCAAAGCATTGAGAATTTTAAAAAAACACAAGTTTCGACCATATACTATAAGAAAGGTCCACCATTTGCATCCAGGAGATGAAGAGAGAGGCGTCATTTTCTGCCAATGGTTTTTGCAGCAAACTCATTAGACCCCAATTTTTGTCATAATGCGCGTCATTGGTCAGATGTGAATCCTCATCAAACTGTGGCCAGAATTCAACAAGGGCGGTTTAGTTTTCATGTATGGGTAGCTCTCTTCCACAATAGAGTGTTAGCTTACGAAATGTACGATATAAACTTTAATGCTCAGATATATGAGAATTTTACAAGAAAATATTATTGAATTAAAAGCTCGCTGGACGATATACCACTAGCTCATCGATATCACATGTTCTTTCAGCATGATGGTGCGCCTCCACATAATTCCCACATAGTTAATCATAATTTTGGGGACAATTGGATCGGTACGTACGGACCAAACAGGTGGTCACCTAGGTCACCAGACCTAACCCCTATAGACTTTTATTTTTGGGGGGATCTTAAAGACAAAATTTATAAGTATAGAGCTAATAATGTCGAGGAGCTAAGGGAACATTTTGAAAACTATATTCAGCGGGTGTCAAATATCCACATTTACAATGCGACCAGTTACATCACCAAACGTTGTCAGTTATGTATCAACGAAAATGGCCGACAATTCGAACACTTGCTGTGACTTTGTTATGTCATTTTTGTTTTATTGTTGTTTCTCTCATTTTATAGTTGTTATTTTTGTTTAGTTTATGTTTAATAGTTATAAGTGTGTTATAATTAAACCTATTAATATAAATGGCTACATACTGTAAAGTTTTCTTAAAAAATTCTATATTTTCAGCTATAAATGCATTAGGTGCCTATCACATTCATGCATGTTTTATATTTATAAAATAATAAAAATCAAATATGTAGGTACATACCTACCTACATACTTTTAAAAAAGAGAAAAAGTACGTGATACAACGTTTCTCCATTTTAAGTTTAATCATGTATTGAATTAAAGCAAATAAAAGGAAACAAAGAAATCGAAAATTATACTTTTGTTTGATATACACAGGGCGTAATCATTAAAGGTGAAAAGTTTAAATGGAGCAATTAATCCAATGTAGGTATACCATACCGTATACCTCAATACCAGAATGCTTCCTTTAACAGATACAGTACTTACCTATATTAAATAAATTTTTTCAAGTTCTCTGGATAGAGTTTAATTTTATGGCTATAGAATTTAACAAATTAGAGCATTTATCATTTTACAAAAAAAATGCCTATACTACATACCTAGTATTTTTTAGACATTGTTTCATAAATACATTAAAAATAATACATTTAACTTATTTCATTCATGTGTGCATTATAGGTATAAAGTTCGTAAAGTTATACAACTTGGAATAAACCAAATGTGAGAGTAGATTACCCAGAGAAAACAGATGTTCTTTATGAAATTGCCGAATGTTTTTAAATAAGTAGATACTTAATCTAGGTAGGTTTTACTTAAATATTTATTTCACGAGTTATTGATAAATAGCATGTGGCGTTATAGGTATATCTATTCATATTCAATAACATATTTCTATAGAATAATTTACTCAAATTTTACACAATACCTATATGATTACATCATAGCTTAGAAAATATAAAAATTATTAGTCACTGATTTTCAAGACCACATAATTTTGACAGTAGTATTTCAAGTTCAAAGTTGAATGATCCCGTTTTTAAGATTTATCGCCAATTTCAAATATTGGCGGGGAAAGGTTATTGCCTTCCTTTAAGCCTGCGCACAAGGCAAAATAAATACTTAGGCAGAATAAGCGTTGCTTTCTCCTTTAGCAAGCTAAGCTTGTTCGAGAAACGGCTAAGTTTATAAGTTTACTAGTGCAATCTGTGTAGTTATGGACGTAGAAAACTCTGCTAATGAGGGTAATTCGAGTCCTGTAAGTACATAATTAGTTATGAAATCTTATTTTATAGTAATGTGCATTAATGAAATATTGTGTGTTTGTAAAATAATGCTAGTTTACTGATAGCGTTCTATCACAAAGCAAAATTTTTCTAAGTCCTAAAATGGCGTCAGAAACTAAGTCCCACGTATTATGCTACAAGTAACACGTTTTTGTAGTCTCATATTTATGAAGTTACGTATTTTTAACATAGCATAAATTTATTATTGTGAACTTTTATAAAAATTGTATTATAATTAATAAATTACTTTCACGTGCTTTTTCATTTAGAGCAACAAAGCCAAAGAACATAACTCGGAATCGAACCATGTGAATGGTATAAACGGATATCCGGAGAAACATAAAAGCCATAAGTCTGATCATAAAGACAAACATAGAGATAGGGATAAGGATAAAGATCGAAGTAAAAGCAAAGAACACAAAAGTTCTAGTAAAGATAAAGATAAAGAAAAAGATAGACATCACTCTAGTTCTAAGGACAAGGATCGTCATAGCAGTTCACATAAGTCCTCCAGTAAAGATAAAGACCGTAGTGATCGTGAAAAGGATAAACATAGAGACAAGGATAAGGATCGTCACAGAGATGACAAAAAATCTAGTTCTTCAAAGGACAAGGAACACAAAAGTTCCCATGATAAAGAACATAAATCAAGTTCACGAGATAAAGATAGGGAGAAGGATAAAGAAAGGCGTGATAAAGACAAAGAAAAAGATAAAGAAAAAGATCGGGATAAGCACAAACACAGTTCTTTGAGGGATAAAGATAAAGAAAGACATAGCAGCTCAAAAGATAAACATAGAGACAAGGAAAAAGACAAACATCATTCTAGTTCAAGAGACAAAGATAGAAAGGATAAGGAAAGAAAATCTGAAAAAGAAAAAAATTCAGGTAAGATTTTATAAACCAGAATTCCTAAAAGCAAAACTTTTTTGGTAGTATCAGTTATAAATTTTAGTCAAATTGTTGAAATAATTGAACTTAACAAAAGTGTAAAATTCTAAGACGAGTAAAGCTTTCCAATTTTTGTTAGGTATTTTAGACTGTATATTGTATTTTTAATTTTAACTAATATGGAATAGATGAACAAAAATTTATTGTAGTAATAACTTAAATATTAACTTATTAACTATTAATTTATTTAATTAATTAATAATTAATTTAATCAAGTAATTTTCCATATACTTTAATCAAATTTCTATTAGTAAGTTACTAGTTGATAATTGCAACAATAACTAAATAAAATTTGGACAGGTTAGGATAATTGTCAAAAATGTCGAAAATTTTCAGTTTTTTAAGAAATATTTCTGATTTATTCAGAATGAAGAATAGAATTTTGTATTCAAAATCTAAAGAGGTGTATTTCGGTAAGAGCTACATTATACTTTGACTTAAACGCAAAGTCATATTAACTATTCAGTAAAGTTACAATGAAATTAATCTCTTGCTGTTGATAATTGGATAGATGAATAAAAGATTAATTAATAATGTAACTTAGTGTTTATTGAACAATATTTATTTTCCTCTTACATTATTAGTTAGATTAACTAAAAAAAATAATGTGAACAGTGATTATACTTTTACATCGAAGAGGAAACAGCTGGCAAAAATCTGTATACTAAAATATCCATTTTCGTATTAATTACTAGAGTTGGCACGATCGATCTGCTGGCCATTGGCACTAATACTCAGCTGATGCGAGCTGTCGGCCTTCATCATTCATAGTTCAATTGCCAAGTTGCTTGTAATAAATGTACATCGATTGATTTGGTACAAAATTGTGTGTAATTATGTCCAACATATGTTGTGGTCAAAAATACTGTGATTACTATGATGCGCACGCCGCTTGTATGTTGATTATTGTGGCAGCATATTAATTACTCAAGTATTACCCACAAATAACAGAAAAGGGGCAAATATTTTTACATAAATCTTTTAATACTTAAATATTTTTAAAGTATTGCTCAAATAGTATCTCAGAAGTTACTCAAACTTTTACACCAAATTACTTCTGTACATTTCCCCCTCCTTTTAAATTGTTATAGGATGTTACGATATAAAACCACAAATTTTATCTGCTTAAATGGGTTATTTTAAGTTACAAATGGTATACAATTTGAAGTGAAGCCCTTCTTTATATTCAGTGAAAGCATAGTGATAAAAACAATTTATATATCGGGTGGTTTGAAAACGATCCAAATCTGTTGCTGTAAAGTTTCGAATATCAGTAATTAAAATTTTTTTAATGTATTTAGATGAACAAAAGGTGAAAGTGGAAATCAAGGAGGAACCAGATTTGAAAATCACTCAAAATTATATTAAAGACGAAAATAGTACTGATGATGATGATGACAAATTGGTTATAAAGGATGAACCTCAGAGTCAGGACGAGGCAGATGAAGCAAATGTTTCGGCTGCGAGCAGTTGTGATTACAACTTATCACAATTCAAGAAGGAGGAATCCCAATTTGAAATGTCTGAAGAAGAGCAAGATGAAAACTTTGATGACTCCCAGGCTGAAGATAAGGATGAATTGTTTGAACCTAAACAGGAACAGGAAGAAGATAGTGATGAAGACGTACCTCTGGTGTGTATATTTTAATTGATAAGAAATCTTCATATTAAAATTGTAAAATTTTTATTTGTGCAAAAATTAATACATTCTTATTTTGTAGTCGGCACGAATGAGTACAACAAGTAAAAGAAAATTAGATTCAGACGATGACGATGATGTACCGTTATTGGCCAGAAAGAAACCGAAGAAGGAAAAGAAGGAGAAGAGCAAGAAAAAGAAAAAACGAGAATATGATGATGAAAACGAGGAGGAAGATTATAAGCCTGAGAAAAAAGTAAAGAAGGAAAAGACAAAAGTTAAAAAGGAAGCTACTGACAGTCCCAAAAAGGGCGGCAAGAAAAAGAAAGAGGAGGAGGAACAGAATGTCTGGAAATGGTGAGTGTTCTTAATACTAAATGGAATAGGCATTAAAAAACAGTAGCGATAAATTTCTAGCCTCAAATATTTTTTACATTGGGGTCAATTTTTTCTTATTTTATATTTACACAAAATGCAATATTAATTGTTCAGTATGTCCCATAATTCTGCTAAATTTCATCACTAAATTCTACTCGTAAAAATTGAAAAAAGTTGTAATAAACGTTGGCCCCAAATTCCTTTTAAAGATGCACTTGAAGAGAATTTCTATTCTAAAATCTGAAGTTTATGTGAATAAATAAATGGAATTTTGGAGATCTAATAACTATGTCTTTTATTTTCGACAAGATGGGTTGACAATTCCATAATTTCATTTAGAAATGAATAACAACTGATGGGGTGCTTTTTTCTTAATTTTATCATGAAATTTAAAAAATTTATACATGTTTTGATTTCTACAGGAGTAAACCATAACCTCTCAGTGTTGCCAGATGGAAATTTCTGTTAACAGTAGGAATGTAGCCAAAAAAAAATAATAAATATATTTTTTAATAGAGGAACACAAGTACATGCACAAAATATAGCAAAATATATAAATGTAGGAGTTCGTTTAATAGTTTTCAATTACATCAATACTCACGTGATTTGACAACTGTCAGTTGTCAAAATAATAAATCCCGGAATCCCGCTGAAGTAAACGAACTCGCCTTCTATTCTGTTAGGCCTAGTTCATATAAACGCGAATTGCGGATTTAAAATTTAAATATGTACATGAACTGGGCTACAGAAAATATAACAGAACTGAAAATATTGAAAAGTGACGAACACAGTGCCGTTAGAGAACAGTGTCGTACTAAAATATTGTTATTCTGGGGAAAATTAGTATAATCAACAGAAGATTTCATAGAGAAACCAGAAGAATAGACATTGAAACTAAAAACAGGAGATCTCGTAGTGAAAACAGTAGAACAGGAGAGTGAGAGTGAAAACAGGAGATCTCCTGTTAAAACAGGAGATCTGGTAACACTGTAACCTCTTAACTATAACAGCCAGAAGGGGTAAAAATGATAAGATGTACGGCGTCATGACAACTTTTATCTGAATTTTCACTAAAATCGGAGTCGTAAACACTATATAAAAGTCTCATTTTAAACATTCTATGGGGTAGACTACCTGCTTTCAGTAGAGACTATTTTATGAAATATATGAAATGTTTTGCATTATTTATCTCAGACTGTAGTTTTAATGGTGAAGATGAGTATGCAACACCACGGGGAACTTATTAGTATATTCCTTGTTCATAAATAATTACAAGCTATGTGACCAGTAATTTTGTTTGAAATAGTAATCTTATTTTCTTCATGTTGGCAATTAAATTCCGATAAAATTAAAAGTTACTGAAACCATACGGTCAAGATTACATTAAAACACAACATTCAGTTTCATCGACTGGTGTAATTTTTCACGAGATTCTATTACACCAATCAGCGATCACATTATCTCGAGTGTAGATGTAATGATTTGTCGTCGTTTATTGTAAATGAATTATTAATATTGGTGATGCCAAAATTTAGGAATTTTTAGTTGACAGTACCAGCCGTGAAATGTTGGTTGCTTAAGTACAGTAGGCACATGACCTATCATCTTTATTTATATTATCAACAAGGGTGAATGGAATTTTATGGGAGAGTTTTCGACTAGTATTTCCCTTTCTATCTCCATTAGTTGTCTAATTAAATACTAGTAACTGAAATAATTTTGAAAGTTCGTTTTGTAAGTTTTACTCAAAAATCAGTCTTTTTTCGAAAAACATAAGAGAGTAGAAATTTGTAGAAAATTGAAAGATGAATCCAAAACATGGTTGTTACCGTACTATTTTATTTAGAAAAATATACCACCGATACCCCGTATCTCCGCCACTGGAGCATGTAAATTTTAGGAAAAGCCCTTAGATTTTGCACAATCTTTATATAAATACATTTGCCCAATTTCAAATTATTTTACTTACTAGTTTTTAAATTATTAAAAAAAATTTAAAATATTTTTTTAAATTTTTACACCCTGTATCTTTTTAACGAAGCATCCTGGATAAAAACTTTATAGGAAAGACCCCTTAAATTCACCAAAGAATACGAGGTTTCATTTTGGGTCACCATATTTGTAAATAACCCTGTATTTGTCACAACCATTAGAAAATGATTATAAATTCGTAATATCTGCCATAACTAATTAGTCGAACATTAAGAAGAATTTTTGAGGCTTCCGAATATAGAACCTAGTTATGAGTTTGGACTTGTAAATGAATAGAAAGGGGAAATATGTTTATAATTTTTAACAGAATAATAAAGTTTGTATGATGATTTTTAAACTTTCAAGGGGTAAAAGAATCTGTAAATAATTGTTATCGGAGTCTTTCCAATAATATGTGAAACTTAAAAAGGCACATTTTCCATGCAAATTTAAATTGGCCGCCTTTAGTAACTTACTAAAATCAGTAGTACCAACGCATTTGACGACTTTGACGTGGATTTGTGAAGATAAAAGATGATGTCATTTGTCATTGATGTCATTTACCTTTGGATTTAAAAGTTATTATTATTTTCTTTTAATGTAGTTTTAGTATGTTCAGAACTGTGTTGTTGTTTAATTCAAGATCTGTTCAAGAAGTAATATGTGTGAAACATGTACATTCTTCAAATCTTGTCCGTAACAGCTCTGTTTGTTATAAAGTTAGGTTAAAACCTCCGAGCCCTCAATTAGAATTTCAAGAACTTTCAAGGATAAATCAAAATAAACTTACTAGTAAGGATCTTAAAGTCTTAAAGTTAAAAGAAATTGAAAGAACAGTTGCAGTTTTAAAAAGGTTTGTAAATGTTTAGTATAAATTGAGCAATTTGGATAAAAAATCAATTGGTTTTAAATCAAATATATTTCTGTTTCTTAGATTGATGAAGTCTGAAGAGTTTTAATTATTAGATCATTATTGTGTAAAAAAAAAGAATGTTAAAAAGAGTGATTCGTGGTTCTGTAAATCAACACGCTGAAAGAATATTAGGATAATGGTTTTCTGAAAATGATTGTGCTACTCAAAATACAAACTGGAATGAATATAAGGGAACTTTTATATTTTAGGATCTTTTAAAAATATAGTAGATTTATTGTATAAAACCACACCTGTCTAGATGTGGCAAAACATTTTACTTCCAAGTTTAAAATTTAGTTTTGAACTCCATTTTAATAAACCATCTGCTCATCTTGATTTGCAAAAGTTGTCAAAAAACATTAAATATATATTTGTAATCTGATCCTTTATTTAACTGCATATTTCTGTTACTATAAATAAATATTACTGATTTCAATAACATTTCCAGGAAAAAGTAATATTTACTTATTTAACGGGAAAACCTCCACAAATTGATTGTTATCAACCAGATTACTTAGTTCAAATTAAATATAAGACAAATTTAATTTATAAATTCTAAATTATCTGAAAAATATTTTACAATTATTTTTAGTTCGACTTATTTCATCTGCATAGATTCTTACAAAAAGTAAATAAGCAAACAAACAAATTTTAATTTTTCTGATTGCACATCTCATTTGCCGCAAAAAAATTGATTGAATTGTATATAATATAAGAAAAGGTTTACATAGTAACTTTTTATGAATAAATTAAATCAGTGAAATACTTTTTAAGAATATTTATTTACGAATTTTTGTAACTAGTTTTTTTTATCTACTTTTTTTAATTTGTAATTTACAGTGTGGCAGAATATTCAAAAAGAGAGAAAGGACTTCAGTACACATGAATTATTTTAAATGATATATTTCACAGTTGTATGTAATTACTTATTTTTATTCTTTTATTTTATTGATCTTTATAGTTCTTTGCTTAAAACTACAAAATTTCTTTTTATTGTCCATTTTGAAACAATGTCCCTGTTTCAGGTGGGAAGAAGAGAAGAAGGATGACGGAATTAAGTGGAATTTCCTTGAACATAAAGGACCAGTATTTGCCCCACGTTATGAGCCGTTACCTAGTAACATTAAGTTTTACTATGGTGGGAAAGAAGTGAAGTTATCGGAAGCCGCGGAGGAAGTTGCCGGATTCTATGCAAGAATGTTGGACCACGACTACACTACAAAAGAAATATTTAATAAGAACTTCTTCAAGGACTGGAGGAAATGCATGACATCAAAAGAACAGGCCCTAATAACGGACCTGGAGAAATGCGATTTTAAACAATTGCATGCGTACTACATGGACATTTCTGAAAAAAACAGGAATAGAACGAAGGAAGAAAAACAGAAACTGAAGGAACAGAACGAAGCTATTATGAAAGAGTACGGTTTCTGTACAATTGATGGGCATAAGGAGAAAATAGGGAATTTCAAAATAGAACCCCCTGGTTTATTCCGAGGCAGAGGCGAGCACCCTAAGATGGGAAAATTAAAAAGGCGTATTGAAGCGGAGGATGTTATTATAAATTGTAGCAAAGATTCTAAAATTCCAGAACCCCCGAAAGGGCATAAATGGAAAGAAGTCAGGCATGTCAATACCGTTACATGGTTGGCCTCGTGGACGGAGAATGTTCAAAATCAAGTCAAATATGTAATGTTAAACCCCAGCTCAAAACTGAAAGGCGAGAAAGACTGGCAGAAATATGAAACTGCGAGGAAATTGGCCAAGAGTATAGATAAAATCCGTTCGGAATACCAACAAGACTGGAAATCGAAAGAGATGAAGATTCGTCAGCGGGCCGTGGCATTGTATTTTATTGATAAACTGGCTCTCAGGGCTGGTAACGAGAAAGATGAGGACCAGGCCGACACCGTAGGTTGCTGTTCGCTTCGTGTTGAACACATCGAACTGCATGAAAGAAAAGATGACAAGGATTACGTGGTGGTCTTTGACTTTTTAGGTAAAGATTCCATCAGATACTACAATGAAGTACCAGTAGAGAAACGTGTATTTAAAAATCTACAACTATTCATGGAAAACAAGAAGGAAGGTGATGATCTGTTTGATCGGTTAAATACGCAAATTATGAACAAACATTTGAACGAACTGATGGAAGGTCTCACAGCTAAAGTTTTCCGTACATACAATGCTTCCTGGACATTGCAGCAACAATTAGATTTACTTACGACCGAGGATGATTCCGTAGCAGAAAAAATCCTGTCTTACAATCGTGCGAACCGGGCTGTAGCTATTTTGTGTAACCATCAACGTTCCGTGCCCAAAGGTCACGCGAAATCGATGGAAAAATTGAAAGAGAAAATCGAAACAAAAAGGGAGGCGATAAGGGATGCAGAGAGACAGTGTAAAGACGCGCAAAGAGAAGCAAAACACGGCAGTGTGAAAGAAAAGATGATAGCCGATAAGAAAAAGAAGTTGTTGCAGCGAATGAAGGACCAACTTATAAAACTGGAAATACAGGAAACCGACAGAGACGAAAACAAAACTATCGCTCTCGGCACTTCCAAGTTGAATTATCTAGATCCCAGGATCAGCGTTGCCTGGTGCAAGAAATACGACGTTCCCATCGAGAAGATCTACAATAAGACCCAGCGCGATAAATTCAGATGGGCCATAGATATGGCTGGACCCGACTATCGCTTTTAAATTTACTTAATTTTATTGATGCGGCTCGTAGATCATGTTTATGACAGACAGTTATATGTCTCCAAATTGAGGAAAACCAGTAGAAGATTTATATTTTAAGTTTAAATTATTTATAGTGATGTTTAAAATTTTCATTTTATCTAGTGAACGAGTTGGATGTGCATGTGAGAATGATATAAAATATCTTTTGTACAAATAAATAGTATCATTTATATAGTTACATCTTATCAATTTTCGGAACAATTCCTCTCATTGTTATTTGTATTTTTATTTACGAAGTGAAAGTTGGGGTATTAATTATTTTTTATGTAATTGACCAATTTTTTAGTTGTTTAATTATAGTGAATCATTCGACAGCATTGTAGTAATCTGTATATTACAGATTGTATTAAATAAAGACTAAATGTAAATATAATTTTTATTTTAAAAAATTTATTTTTAACAATATTTAATTTATTTAAAGAAATCCACGTCCTGCAGTTCGGGAGGCATGAAATGGAAATCGGCACCATTTTGTAATCTCCCATATCCTAAAAATTAAAAAAAAAACCTATTTCCTATTTGAGTATTAGTGGGGTACAAATGTGTATTTTTTTTTTAAATCGAATAAAATATTGTATATAAATATTGCTTTTTGAATGTTTCCCTTCCGTTCACAGATAATGTTTGAATCGAGTTAACAATGTAAAGGTAAAAATATTTCAACATTAGAAAAGAGTTCAATTCTGTTGAAGTTAATATGGGATGGGTTTTTTTTTTCTTTGAAAATATTTGGAGAATACAGCAGATTTTAGGGCTAGCTGTTTTCACCATGTTTTTTCATTTATTGATGAATAGTGATGTCAAATACAGTTACCTTTTAGTATTCAGAGTATTCGTTACTTTTATCTTTAGTACTCGTTACTGAATATAGTTACATGTATAGTCCAGCCGGTACGATATGCGGTTTTGTTTCTACACCGACTTCCTGCAAAAGTCAATCACACGCTCGAAATACCCTACATTGTCGATATTAGCAATAAAACATCCATCATGGCTACATCTGTTCCAAGTGAACGTATATTCTCCAAGACAGGTCAAATAATAACAGAACGGCACTATAGATTAAAATCGAAGTATGTAAACAAAATCATTTTTTCATTTTTCTAAACTGCAACGATTTTTTGTTTATTCATAAAACTTAGTAGTAGTCAGAGCTGGGTAATTACTTGTAATTTAAAAATAGTTACAATTACAAATTACTTTTTTTAAAAAAGGAACTAATTACAATTACAAAGTATATTCTTTAAAAAAGGAATTATATTAATTTAATTACATTTACATGGAAAATGGATTTAGCAATTACTATTCTAATTACTTTTACGATAAAGTAAATTACCAAACAGAGAAAAAGGAAAAAGTTAAGTTAAAAATTTAAATTAAAAGTGTTGTGTAATATTGCGTTTTATTATTTATTAGAATTGATACTAAAATGAAAAGATTATTCTTATTCATTTTCTGATATAGAATTTTTATATTTTTATTCCTAATCTAATAATTTAAACTAGTTCAGTTCATACTATAATTTTATATTATTGGTCAGGTAATTAATTCAACCCGATGCTCTTTTTTTTGGTTGTTAGTACATTTGCAAAATATAGAATACAGTAGTTTTAGGTAGACTGTAAAGCAATAATTATTATTAAAAAAATTACGAATCGAACAAGTACGAGTGAAAGGCTGAGTAACCGAACCAGAAGTTTTCTCAACTCAAAATAAGAGCAGTAACACATAGATACATAATATATATTTTTATAAAACTTGATGCTATAGACAACATATTTTTACTTCGTATATTTTCTAAATTAATTATAATTATAATAAAATAAAATGTACTCTGTTAATTCTGAGGTTAATTCACCAAATCACTTTTTATTGTTATTGTTCATTGTTATTGTTCACGCGGCACAAAGCTTTCCTCAAATGAAATAATAGAAGTCTGCAAGTCTGTACGCAATTACGCTATACGCATGATCTTAAAAGTAATTATAATTATTAGAAAAAGTAATTGTAATTGGAAAAAGTATTTGTACTTATAGAAGTAATTTGTAATTCGATAGTTCAAATAATATAATTACAAATTACAATTCCTATAACAATTTTACTGCAATTACAGTTCCAAATTACTTTAATAAAAAAAAGTACTTAAATACAATTACAATTACAGGAAAAAAAAGGGAATTGTAATTGCTAATTACTTTTTCACCAGGAATTACCCAGCTCTGGTAGTAGTAGGCATTCACACAAAACAGTAAATAGTTTTGAATTAATAAATTGTGTTATTTGTTATTTTGGATATTTTTATTTTTTCGTTAGGTATTTGATATTTTTACGACTAATTTCTATAAGACGAGCAGAATATATATTTTTTTTTGTGTTTAAAATAAATAAATTTAGAAAATAATTATTTATTTAAATGTTAATAAATATTATGTATAAATAATTTAAGTTTTGTATGTTTATTTATTATTTACGTTCTTCAGGTGCATAGGTATCTACTACACTGCAGCAAACTACGAATTAAATAATTACATTGATTAATTACTGATTAAATATATTTTACAGCCATTTAATTAAATGTCAACAAAAAGGTATTTCACTTAGGGAGGGGTTTATCTGATTTGGAATTGACGAACAAATATTCATAAAAAAATTAATATAAGCTTATTAACATGAAGAAAATCCTCAAAAAAAATTATGACTAGTTTGGATACCTAAGAGACGAGATATTAATAAAATAATTTTTCACGCTTTTGTACAGTCTTATGAGTATGCAGATTTTTTTGGTCTTTCCCCTTAGAATGTGCAGCAATTGACAAACAGATATCTAAGGAACCGTATGACAGCTCGTAGAAATCGATTAGGTATTTGTAAGATACATAATTTATAATAATTCTCCTTCAAACTGCTGATGTTGATTAACTTAACGTCCATATGCGTGATAGCGGGCAACGCCGCGGTTCTCGACGTAGTGTATTATTTGAAATTCGCAGGTGTGACATATGGTGTATATTTCAAGCTTAGGCATCCAAACAAAGCCAGCCAAGTGCAACATTGACAAATCTAAAGGCTTACTACTTTAGTCACTAGCGAATGTACAGAAACTCTCGTTAGACTTTTAGATGTACCCCCGTACCCGATAAACCTCCTTAAGTAACAATCCTATAGGATGACGACTACGCGACTACTTTTTCCTTGCGATACGCGTCGAACGAGTACATGATAAATATTCCGAGACCCGATAAGAATTATTGTATCTATGAGTATTAGATGCTTCAGTAAAATACAATACCAAATCTGAAATACACGCGTTCAGTAAATATTACCGAACTGAGTCCGAATATTACCGATTATCGTGATGGAGCTTGGAGAAGAATCTCTGCTTAAACAGTAATCAGTGCCGAATACTTTTCTCATCGATTACTCAGTATCCGTTATTTATTCAACTAACGGATAAAAAGTAACGAATAATTACAATATTGAGATCACTATTGATCAATAAAACTTTTGATTGTACTGGGTGCCCCAATTAAAATAGTCCACCTGAAATATTTTCGTGCAACATGTTTTTCCGGAAAATCCCGAAACAGGTCGATATTCTTTCAAGGGGGACATCTTTTGATCATAAATTCAATTCAAGAATCTTAAATGGCACGAGGAGGGTTAAGTGTTCAAATGGCAACCCATTTACTTCAATACGGTAATAAAACCTCTGTTCAACATTTTCCCGAACATTTTGTAGCATTTCAAAGGTTATTTCATCACATGCTACCACTATTTGGTGGCGAACATCTAAAGAGGTGGGATACGTTTTTATAAATAACACTTTAAATGACCCCATAAGAAAAAGTCCAATAGTGTTAAATCAGGCCATCTTGGGGGACATTCAATAAAACCCCTTCTACCAATCCAGTGTTCAGGAAAATGTTGATTCAAAATGTCACGTACAGCAGCTGCTGTATATCATTCTCTAGAATCTGATCGTCGTTTTCAAGGAACAAGATAAACTGAGATAAGATTCACCCGTCAAGTTATCAGGTAAAAAAATGGACTAACAATATTATTTCCCAAAATCCCAGCTCATATACATTCAACTTTTCTGGATACTGTGAATTCTGTTCTCTCAAAACTTCAGGATTTGAATCAAGCCAGTATTTGCAATTATGTCTGTTGTTTAAGAAATAATGTGCATTCGTGAGAAAAGCATGTACAATATAAAAAATTTAAGAATTTCAATATATCAGATGTGTTTTTGTATTAATTACATTTGGGTATAACATTTTTAGTTTTTATTTTTAGTTACTAGCTGCTTATTGGGTATTTCTGATATAATTGGAAATTAGTTGAGGTGTAGCCCATAGAGTAGTTGTTTCTCGCAATATCAACAGTTAGGAATGTTGTCTGTAGGGTTAGATATCTTGCGTATCTAGATTTTTGGTACCTATCGAAGAACATTGTTTTAATTCGTTTGATAAAATTTTTGAGGATAATATTTTAAATTTGTTTGAATTAGCTTAATACTTTTAAGTGGTACAGTAAAAAATGTGAGAGCTAATAATAGCGAGTTTTTTTTAATTTTCATACATAGTTCGGCAACTATTAGGTTCACCGATGTCATATTTGCATCAGATGAAAAGAATACAATTTTAAACCTACATCTGCAATAATCTCATTAAAAAAAAAAATGGATTTATCCTTCTCTTTTACTGGCCACAGTTACCGTCATTTTTATGATTTAAACAGGGTTCGTAGCGGCCGGGAAAACCGGGAATACCGGGAAAAGTCAGGGAATTCGTTATTCTTCATGAAAAACAGGGAATAGTCAGGGAATTTTAAAAATATTCATGAAAGTCAGGGAATTTGATGTTTGCAACTGGAAATTTTGTGAAAGCCGGCCCTGGGTTCTTGAAAGAAAAAACTATTTGTGGTTTTGAAACCTTTATAAGAGGTTCTTAGGGTATAAAAAAGATTATGGAGTCCAGTCCAGAAAAAATTTAATGCATAAACACCAATTAGTATGTAAAAATGAACTACAAGTGACCTGGATTTTATTTTTATAAGTCAGGGAAAACCTGGAAAAGTCAGGGAATTCTTCATTACTTTTGAACTATGAACCCTGTTAAAGGTGTATAGGATAAAAAAAGTTTGTTATACATAATGTACAGGAAATAGAAATCTCTCGGATTAGGATAGGCCTTCTAAAAATGTCATAATTGACCCCGCAGGTTCCTTATGGAAAATGGCTTCCAGCCGATAGTTCTGAAAATTTGGATTTGAATAGCTCTCGAAGCTTAGATAAAAAGTTGTCATAGGCACTAAGCTGAGAAAATTATATTTTTCGAAATATAGTCGCCGAAAGGTAGGAGTTATAGTAACGCGAGGTATAAATTGAAGAAGACTCATTGTAAGGTCAAATGAAGAGAAACCATGCAATCTGTCCAAAATACATCTCTTAGATTGTCGGGGTTACTGAATCCGAATCAGCCATCCATTCGGGTATATGTATAGTATACAGAAGGTGCTTAGGGAAAATGATGAATTTCAATTGGATGAACATATAGATGAACCAGGACTTCTAAGAGGACGAATTTTCTCAAGATTCTGATGTTGCAAGACATCAAATATTCATTAGTTATGTTAACGTAGATGAAGACTTAGATAATTATGGTGGTGATCAAGATAATGGTCCAATCCTAGCATATTATTGCATGTGTTACTCAGGAGCGAGAGTAGTAGGAACTTGTGCTCATGTGGCCAGTGTTTTTTGGTTTCTAGGCTATGCCCGCCATCAACCACATGTGAAGTACCCAGATGATTCACTATTAAATACTACAATGAATGCAAATAATTAATTGATAATTGAATTACTTAATTATAATTTATGTTATACCTTTTATTTCAGACAATATTATTTCTTATTTGAAAATGATTCAATATGTATTCGTTACGATGTATAGTAAAGTCAAAAACATATGTATTCATCAACGATGTTTGATAGGTGTGTAGTACAACATTAATAAAGAATGTACTTTAGTTAAAAAAGTTTTTACTTATCGATTTTTAACCTACCCAATTCAATTCATCTTACAACGATCTTCGTTTGATCTTGATGTGACCTTGAAACTCATCCGCACAGCCTAATGGATGGCAGATTCGGATTAAGTGACCACGATAACGTAAGGAACATTTTGAGACAGATTGCACGGCTTCTTTTCATTTGACATTACAAGCTAAGAGGCTTCTTTAATTTATACCTCGCGGTGCTATAACTCCTAGCTTTCATCGACTCTATCTCGGAAAATATAATTTTCTCGGCTTAATGCTTATGATAACTTTTTATCTACGTTTCGAGAACTATTCAAATCCAAAGTTTCAAAACTATCGGCTGAAAGCCATTTTCCATAAGGAACTTGCGGGGTCCTTTATACAACTATTTTTAGGTTCACTCTACAGTTATTAGCTCTTTGAAGTTGAAAAGTGATATTTCATTTAACTTGTTTGTTCCTCATTAAATTTGGATAATTTATATTGATATTATTTGAAGCTATTTCTACTAATGTATATTCAATTTCCCTATGTCTAATACACTACGCACTCTGCTACACTAATAAAATCCCTAATAGTATTTTTCAAATTTTTGCATAAAGAATTGTAGCAATTGGCTGCAATTTTGTATTATAAGTGGATCTAGATGTGGCAAAACGATTGACAAATTAAACTTACATTGTGGCCTGTACTTGAATAGAACGCCCTACAAAAGTAAAAGTACAAAAAATGTTATTTATTTGTTATTTTTATAATTAAAATAAAAGTAAAATAAGAAGCATTAGAATATGAATTCGTACTCAGAATTTGGTGAAGTCAAGGTATAGATTACTTATTTCCCTATACATTCTGATAAATTTTTCAAATTTCAGATCTATATGTATACATTTAATTAAGCTTGTTTTTATTAGTGAAATATATTTAAAAATGAATTGCACATACCCAAATCCTTCATGAGCTTAGTAGGAGCATTTCTTATATGCATAGGAACGCTAGGTTGTGGTCCCTTACAGGCTGCAATTACTTGCTTCGCTTTTGCCAATGCAGAGTCGGCCTCCCGAGATTTTGGAGCTCTAGCTAGATAAATAGCGCACTGTGCCAAGAGAACATCTGCTTCTGGCATTCCCAACAACTGGCATCCCTCCATCGTTGTAACAGCTAATTGGAGAGCGTTGGGGTCGGCATTTCCTAAATAAATTTTTTACAATTTTTAATTACAAAAAGCCTTAAGCAGTGTTAATTAATGAATAATTCTTATAAATTTGGCATAGTTTTAATTTCATTTGTGACTGTATATATACCATAACAATTAAAAAAAAAGAACAAAAAAGTATTTCACTATACCTTTCAATATTTCATACATAACAAGATACATTATTACCATTTGTACACTTGAATAACATTTTACATAATTTAATGGAAACAAGAAAGAAATTATTACCAATGTCCTCACTAGCGGCTCTAACTAAACGACGAGCAATATATCTAGGGTCTTCTCCACTGACGATCATCCTTGTAGTCCAGTATAAAGCAGCATTTGCATCTGAGCCTCTAATAGATTTGTGCATTGCAGATATAATATTATAATGCTCCTCACCAGCACGATCATATAACATATGGGACTTCTAAAATATATAGTAAATGTATAATACATATCCATGAGAATGAAAATGAAATTATTTATAAGAATGCGAGCCTTGTTCCTATAATAAATTCAAAGGGATGGAGAACTTTTTAGAAGCATTGACCTTGTCCCTTTTTTTAAGCATTTCATACGAGTACAATAATTTTGAAAATAATTTGTAACTACATATTTTATTGATCTCAATAGGATAAACCGAGGGATAAACATACTTTTAATTTAAATTAAAATATACAGTGACTCCACGGATTGACTTGAAAGAGGGAAAAATATTCTCATTTTATGAAAAAAAAGGAATTCGTGTCAAAAAACTGCTTTTATTCCAATGTAGAAAATAATTGTTTCTAAGTGTCCTCTATAAAGAAATTATTATTAGAAATGAGGTAGTTAATTTTATCCTTAAACTCAATAATACCAACAGTTAAAAAATATAGAAAACAAATTCTTCTTCAACATTTAATATATACATTAGGTGTCCACATATAGGCGTGATTGAGAAAATTTTTTTAAGCGGAAGATTTGGCAGTACGATCCTGTATGAATTAAAAAGCAACTTGTTAAGCAGGAAGTTAAGTATATTTTCTGTGTAGTTAAATATCTTTTTCATATAAGGTATCAATTTTATTGAGAAAAGTTACTCATAATTTAAATTTATGTCTATATACCAACTTTGGAGATAATTGTACAAAATAAAGCTTTATTAGACAGTGGAGAAAAATATAAAAAAAAAATAATGTTTTCCCAATGAAATTTTTAAGTATTCCTTTTATTTCCGACAAGACACATAATTTTTTATGAAAAAAAATATGCTCGATTATTTTCTAACCAAGCAAACTTGTTCTCCAAAATGTCAAATTTGTATATATATATATATATATTAAATTTTGGAAAATGATTTGCTACTTATAAATTTCTTACATGGCTGTACCTGCTATTGAATTCTAAACATAATATCAACTATTTTATTTCTAATTACTTTTTAATAGCCGACACTCCGACACACATACATTATCTAACTTAAAACTACATTTTTCTGCATTATTGAACATAAACAGAATTAGGTATCTTAACAAGAATTTTTTTTTTATAAAACGAAAAATGGAAAAGTTTTATAGTTTTTCAACTCTATCCGTGGACATGATGTATATTATTTAAAGTGGGTTCTCCTGGTTCTCAAAATAAGCATCAGATTAGATCTACTACATTTTAATGGCTATCTATACCTTAATTCTCTCTTTAATTTCTTCAACAGTTATAATTTTTCCATCATTATTGCTGTTTTGGATTACCAATTGCAAATTTGTTAAAGCTATTCTGGCATCACCATCACTTATATCTGCTAACCATTTTAAAGCCCTTTCGTCAATTGCCATACTATAATCATATCACAAGGCAAGTTAATAATTTATCTCTTTCACATATCACAATTCTGTAGTGAACTGTATTAGAAATAATTATCACATAATTCAATGTAAATTATTTAAAGTGCAAATACTTAATATTATATAAACCTGTATTCATGGAATACTGTAAAATCCATATAAAAAAATTACCCTTTATCATCTTTAATGATGCCACACGGATTTTCTGTATCAATTATATCAATACTTAAAGAATTAGCTGCTCTTTCTAAAATCAAATATAAATCATTAATTTCAAGTTTCTCCATTACAATTACCCTACATCTGCTCAGTAAAGCCGAATTTATGACAAATGAAGGATTTTCTGTTGTTGCACCAATTAAAGTAATTTCTCCTTTTTCAACACTTAATAAGAAGGTATCCTGCTGACGTTTATTAAACCTATGAATTTCGTCCATAAATAAAATAGTTCTTCTACCAAATTTCATTTCATTCTTGGCTACAGTAATAACATGCTGAACTTCTTTTACTCCTGTGGTGGCTGCACAAAGTGAAACAAATTTAAACTTTTTGGGATTTTTCTTACATAATTCATTAATTACAGCTGATAAAGAAGTTTTACCACAACCTGGAGGACCCCATAAAATCATATTTGGAATTTCTTCTTTTTGTAAGAGGGACCTTATTACACTATTATCACCTAGCACTTGATTCTGACCGAAAAACTCATCCAGAGACTTTGGTTGCACCTGTTTTGCAAGAGGTACCATGAATGAAAACGAGGAGTTATTTATTTTTCCCTGATTATTTTCTCCTAGGCTGGTCCCAGGTTTATTTATTTCACACACTAATGTTGTATCAACAGATATCTCTTGTTTCACTCCACTGTGGCCCCTTGGAGATTTTTGTTTAGAACCTAATTTTGGATGGTAGATATTATGTAAAGTTGGTGATGGAGAACGTTTTCTTTTTTGAACAGCATCCGAGCAATTTAAAAATATACATTTATTAACATGTTGCTCTATTTCAGCTAAAATAAATGATTTATTACATATTGGGCAAGAACTCTCATCTTTCGCGTTGTTCATTTTTAACATTCAATTAATTGTAATCAGATTATTCTACAAAATAAAGGTTAGATCCATAGAAAATATAGTACTAACTTTATTAATACTATATTTTCTATGGTTAGATCTAACCGCGCCATTATGCTATGGCTAGAAATTGGCCTCAATGATTTAGGATCGAGGGGGGGCGCCATTATTCTATGGCTAGAAATTGGCCTCAATGATTTGGGATCGAGGGGGATTATCCCTCTTTATCCTGCCTCATCTCGTGTAGGCCTGGACAGCCTTCGTAGGTGGGCCCCATCCGTCGTCTACCCCGACCGCAAATGCGGCCGGTGTAGGCGCTTTGTGGGACCTCCTTTTGTCCTGGCTGGGCCCCGCCGGCTAGGGCCCTTTCTTCTGGCGCTCTTCTTGCTTCGCCGGCTCGTCTGTGTAAACCCCGGGGGTAGTGTCATGTTTATGTGTGGTATGGTTGGGTAGGGTAGTGCGGCTATGCAGCCTGGGATGCGCTTTGCTAAGGTGGCCCTTAGGCTAGCGCGGGAGGGGAGGGTAAGGAGGGTATGGGGGGTGTGTATGTGTGTGTGTGTGTGTCGTTGTCTTCGTTTCTTGATCCTGGCTGTCTCTGAAACAGAAAAGGTTAGCGGGCAGGGGGGGGGGTCATTGGGGTGGTCACCCAGGGTCAAAAAGTTGGTGTCTAGGTCTTTTGTGTTTGTCGGTCACGTCGGGTACGTAGTCAACGGCTTGCCTGAGGAGGGGATTGTCATGTCTAGCGGCTACGTCAAATCGTTTCTCCGCGTTTTGTCTTATTGTCTGTGTAGCGTTTGTGTATTGTAAGTCTCGTAATATGTCAGTGTTTCTTACGTACCAGGGCGCGTCGGTGGCCGTGCGGAGGGCTATGTTTTCCACAGCCTGTAATGACTTTAAGTGGCTTTTTGCCGCGTGACCCCACGCCGTGGAGGCGTAGGTTAGCTGCGGTTGAAGTACCACCTTGATAAGCGTTCGCTTATTCCTTAAACTGAGGGTGTTTCCACCTTTGAGTAAGGGATAGAGCCTAGCCCTGGTGGTCTTCGCTCGCGCCACCGTCTCCACGATGTGCGGTTTCCACGTGAGACGCTGGTCCATCGTCACGCCCAGGTATCGTGTTTGTCGATTCCAGGAGATGGTTCCTGGGATAGTGTCAGTCTGTCGAGGTTTTGTGGGATTTTTCGTTTGGTAAAAAGGATAGCCGAACTTTTGTTGGGATTAATTTTGACTTTCCACCTGTTGCACCAGGTTTCAAGTTGGTCTAAGGAGTTTTGGAGGAGGGAGACGGAATATCTAGGATCTACGGATTGGGATGTGATTGTCAGGTCGTCGGCGTATAAGTATATGTTGGTGTTGGGGGGATGTGGGATGTCGGAGTTGTAAATGGTGTATAGGTGTGGGGACAGGACGGTGCCCTGGGGGACACCGGCCTCCATGGGACGGGTGGTGGAAAGGGAATCTTGGATTTGGATGCGGAATTTTCGGTGGTGTAGGTAGGATTTTATGAGTTTGGTAAAGGATATGGGATATTGGTTGGTGAGCATTTTCATCAGTAGGCCTTCATGCCAAACCGTATCGAAGGCCTTTGCGACGTCCAGGAAGACAGCACCAGTGTACTGTCCCCTGTTGAAGGCCGCCGTGATGGGCTCGGTAAGGCGAAGGATTTGGAGTTCAGTGGAGTGATTGGGTCGGAAGGCGAACTGCTCGTCTGGAATGACTTGCAGTTCTTGGGAGTGGGTTCTTAGACGGGTTAGGATAATTTTTTCTACCACTTTGCTTATAGCCGGGAGCAGGCTAATGGGCCGGTATTTGGATGGGATGGTGTGATCTTTGTTGGGTTTTGGGATAAGGATTATGTTTGCTAATTTCCAGTTGGTAGGGAAGTGTCTTAGTCTGTGTCGCGTTTGTTATGTCTAGTAGGGCCATGAGGCTCTTGTGTGGTAGTTGTTTAAGTGTCGTGTTCGGTATATTGTCGGGTCCGGAGGCTTTTCTGTTTTTTAAGTCTGCGTATTGACAGTCTTAGTTCGTCAGGAGTTGCGGGGGGGATTATGTCATTGTCTGGCTCTCTGTCGACGCGTCGGGCCGCGCGCTCAGTCACTATCTCGAATTCCTCGTCTTCGTCGGGCAGCTGAGGCAGTCTACACTGCAGTTCCAGGCTATCGGCGAAAGCCTCGGCCTTTTCCTGGTTCGTGTAAACCACCCCCACACTACCGTGGATTGGAGGAATTTTACGGCGAGCGGTCTGTCGCAGGGCCCTCTGCGTTTTCCAGAGGCTGTTGTCTTGTGGATCCAGCGACTCCAGGTGCCTAGCCCAGTTATCCTGGGCCAGTTCATCCAGAGCCGCCTTCACCCGTCTGTTAAGTACGTTTAAGTCATGTCTGTGTCGGGGGAGGCGGGTGCGGGTGGCAAGCCGTTTCGCACGTCGTCTGTCACGTATTAAGTTTTTTATGTCATCGGGGAGGGTGCCCCGGGGGTTTGTCAGTCGGGGGACAATAGTCTCCGTCGTAGTCTGAGTCAGGGCGTTTTTAATGTCAGTCTCAAGGGAGAGGATTGCCGCCTCCAGATCATGGGTGGTTTCGATGACTGGGAGCGCCATGTTTCCTTGCATTACTGTTCGGAAACGCTCCCAGTCAGTGAACCTCCTCGTGAAGGTGCCTTCATATCTCTGTCTTCGCCCCAGATCCAGAAATATTGGATTGTGGGCGGAAGACCCTTCGTATTGGGTGGATATTTGGGCATTTAACGGTATAGATTTTAAGAGGGCAATGTCGATAACGTCGGGGCGTCCTACGGGTCCGTAATGTGTCGGTTCTGTCGGTCCGAGTATAGTCAAGTCGTCGTGTCTGTCTTGGTAATTCAGCAGGACGCGACCTCTTGTGGTCGTCGTCCCGCTGTGCCATATGGGGGACTTCGCGTTGAAGTCCCCGATGGCAATTGTCTGGGGCCAGGAAAGGATTTTGTCTAAGTCATTGTCAAGTAGTGGTAGTCTGGGTGGGTGGTAACAGGACACCACCGCAACGTCTCCATGCCGTAGCGATCTCACCGCTATCGCCACGGCCTCTGTGTTTTGAGTTTGGAGCCGCTGCAGCGGATAGTGGTCGATGCACTTCTTTACTATGAGTGCAACACCACCCCCGTTACGGTTTCTGTCATGTCTGTATATGTCATAGTCAGGGATGGAGGTACGGGATGCCTCGCTGAGGTAGGTTTCCTGGACAGCCTTAACGTCTATGTTTAGACGGTTCAAGATGTCCACGAGTTCCGTTTTTTTGGCCCGGAACCCGTCAAGTTTCCAGGACGAAATTCTCAGCGAGGAGGGTTGGGAAGGCCGACGAGCCATTAGAAGTCGAATAATTTTTGCATATTCGACACCATGGTCGTCAGCTGGATGCAGAAGTCCTGAAGACGCTTTGTTGCGTCAATCAGGGCAGCCGCGCTCGGTTGGGAGGATGTCATGTCTGTGTGTGCGTGTGGTGAGGTGTTGTGTTTTTGTTTTTGTGTTTTGTGTTTTTCTGGTCATGTCAGCGTATGTGCGTCCCGGAGTTGTGTTTGGGGTGGGTCTGGCTGTCTGTCTGTTTGTGTAGTGTTTTGTGTCGTGTGTGTTTGTGTTTGTGTTTTGCGTTTTTGTGTTTTTAGCTTTGGGGTACTGAGGGCACCCCATATAGTTGCGGGGTGTGGCCCGGCGCAATTTGCATACCTGGCGGGCATGTCTTTGGCCTTCTTGCAGACGTGCGTGCTGTGGTTTTCGCCACATTTTACGCACTTTGGCTCAGCTGTGCACCGGGTCTGGCCGTGGCCGAACCGCTGGCACCGGTGGCACTGTGTGGCAACCCGCTGCTTTCGCTGCAGCTCCACTCGAACCACGAGCGAGCAGCAGCGGGTTACCTTCAGGATGTCCTCCTGGTCCTGTGGGGCTTGAACTAGGACCAGAGGCATTTCCTGTTTATTTTGACGGCTCGCCATGCGGTGCACAATTGCGCCGGAGAACCCTTGTCGTGCGAAGTCGAGTTGGACCTCACTTGGCGAAACACCCGCAGGTATTCCGCGTATCACCACCCTCAGCATTTTTTCTTCGTTGAGGGTGAAGGTGTGGTACTCCTCGCCTTTGTCTGTCAATGTCTTTGTCAATAGTCTGTGGTCTTTAGGTGTGTTTGGGTATATGGCTATACCGTCTTTAGTGAATTTGGCTTTTGTGTAGTTAATGTTAAGTGTCGTGAGGATTTTTTGTACTTGCGTCCACCGTTCTTGCTTTCGCAAGATTACCGGGGGGACCTGTTTGGTTTTGTCTGTCTGTTGTTGTGTTTTGTGGGGTGTTTTGTAGGGCGCTAGGGCGGTTTAGGTGTCGGGGGACGCGTGTTTGGTGTTTATGGTCGTGTTTTGTTTGTTTTGTCTGATTTTTTATGTCTGGGGGCTTCGTCCTCGCTAGAGGATTCGCCGTGTGTTTTTTGCGTTTCTCTGTGCGTGTGTATGTGTGTGCCTGTCTGGGGTATATTGTCTGTCATTTGTTTGTTGATGAGTTTGTAGAGTTTTTGGTGTAATTTAGTGGTGTTTTCGTCCGAAAGTTTAATTTTTTTGCAAATCGACGATTTGCTGTGTCATGGTTATTATTTGTTGGTATTGTCGGGTGTTTTGTTCAGTAAGTTCGTGTATTTGTTGTTTTAGCGTCTCGTTTTCATGTTTTTGTGATAATAGCTGTTCGTATAAGTCTGTTTTAGTGGTCATGTTTTTTGGTGAAGAGGAGACTCTTGAAGAGGGTCTTTCGCTGTCTGTATCGTTCATGTATATGTTCTTCTCGTTTTCGGAGTCCGACATTTTGTGCGTGTGTGCGTGTGTGTGCGTGCGTGTGTGTGTGTGTGTGAGGGTGTGTACACGTTAGTCGTGTGGGGATGCTCCCTTACGGGGGCGTACGTGTCTTTTGGTGTATTTGTCTGTCTGATATATTGTTTGTCGGGGGTCGCAATTTTAATGATGTGTATTCTAAAGTAATGCAAATAACTGATAAATAAGTAAAAACTTACCTGGGCATAACCCCGGCACAGGTACCTGTAACAAAGATGCCGAAGGCCTCTATGCTTAAGCCGGGGATTAGG